TCTTCAGCACACTTCAGTGAAACATAGACCTTAACCAATTGCATTTCCTCTATAGGCTTTATGCCGAGCGTCACGTGACCAAACCGGAAAGCGGGTCTCATTGCATCCACTTGTCAGAGAAAGTGTTAACGGCCGTAAGAACTAACTACGATATCTATGGATTTTTAAGGTAATCAGCTAACCTACTAAGTTCACTTTGTTATTGGTGTTTTATGCTATTTAAATATCTAAACGTTAGTGTGAAGAAGAAAAATAAAAAAACTTTTAAATATCAATCTGCACATGCGAGGGACATTGGTTATGCTCATTTTTGCTTGCTCCTTTTAAGTTATCTTGAGTAAAACCGCAAAAACTGTCATGAAGCACATACAAAAGACCTGAATCGGAAGCGATGTGATCTGTTTTCCGGCTTGGTCACGTGACGCTCGGCATAAAGCCTATTTCTGTTTGGAATAACCCTACATTACTTGTCTTTTTTCACCTCTTGTTCCAGTTTAGTTTGTTCTCTGTCTCTCATATTCATGTGCATTGCTCAGCTTTACTGTTCTGTTAACCTGAAATCGGCTTACTTTACATCCCAGCAGCGAGTGGCATTTGACCGGCTCAAATGTCAGGCATGCAATTATTAGTCTAGTAGCACATGAACCTGAGGTAAACTCTGGACAGCATGAGGCTTTGACCAACTGATCTCTTTTAAACAGCCTGAATGGAGAAAAGCATGGGCTGAGAATCAAGGGTAATGGTGTACACAGAAGAAAACAAGGCATTATGGAGGCTAAAACGACTTTGACCTTGTTAAGCTGAGATTGTTTACTGTGGCCTTGTCTATTTAAGATGACCTTTTCACTGATTCTGGTCTCCATAGCCTGATTAAAAATGTTGCGTCTTAATGCAAATCTTGAAGAAGTAAATGCTAACGTTTCCTCAGCCTGCTTTGTTTGATTATACACTACCAATCAAAAATTTGGAGTTTGCGATCAATGGAGGCGAGGATGAAAATGATAAGACTCTAACTTCTGGGATAGTACAATGTGAATGCCCTCAAGAGCATCCCAAAAAGGTCATATAAGTGTCTTTTAAAACTATCCTTTTTTGTTAGAATTATTACAACGTTCATTATATTAACCAACATTAAAATGCTGCTTAGATTTTAGACAAGATTTTAAAAATCAACAGCCGTATAAAACAATGTCTAAATGGGTCATATTTGGCTATTTTTTTTAACATTTGTAACATCCTTTGCCTGGTGATCAGCTGAAAAGTAAAGTAGTTTCAGAGGGGGCAGTGCAAGTTTTAACATTTTGATGAAAGATTATGGAGACAATCATTTCTTGTTGACTAAAATATTGAGCATAATAAAACTAGGAATGTGTCCTTAGAAGGTAAACCGGCTAATTTTTTTTCATCTCGACTTTAATTTCACTTTTTGTCCTGGATAATGCCGTCACTTGGGGCTAGGCTTGTTACCTGTCTGGCGTTGTTGAGGTCTTGCAGTTCTTTTATTCCGTCCCACAGTCCAGAACCAGTGCCAACAGGAAGCCCAATAAACAAACAGGCCCCTGCCAAGGTCTGGTTTGGAGTGGTCTAGCCCTGATCCCCATCTGCCTTTAATTATACCGAGCTCCCCTCATCCTGCACACCTGTGAGATATTACGAACAGCATGTCTGAAGGAATACCTCCCTGGGGTTAGCAAAGCAGCCAGCATATCCAGCTTTGATACCCGATGAAGGAGGAAGGGTTGAATAGTTCAGGATTGGGAGAGGCAGACCGAAGCTAATTTTCTGAACAGAACATTTAGTTTTGTTTCTCGGTGGGTTTCTTTTGCAGCTGTCTGTTGTTATTGCACTGAAACGGTCAAAATAGGGCAATGCTTTATGTAGTTTTATAGCATCTAACGACTAACCGTCAGACCAATGACGGCTGCCAAAATTGTTTACCAATGTTTAATGTTGCATCAAACGAACCGGAGGAGTGCCAAAGACTTTCCCGTTAGTTTGTTGAACTTGTGCCATCCTCTTGAACTTTTGATGCTAGAACTACCACTGGCCTATTAAGATGTTTTAGGACCGTAGCGTTAACCCCTGGAGAGCAGGTTCTGGGAAGAATTATCTTGAACAGTCTGCTGATTCTCCACTGTTATAAAGTTTATTATAATTTTCTTACATGTTGAACATGTTTATCTTAATCTAAATTCAAGTGGTGCAGAAATTTCCATTTGTTATATCTTTCTTACCATGCAAAGTTATCTTTAAATGTGCTGCTATAGAGTCAACGCATGCAACTCTTTGACCTCCACATGTAAAGCATTGCAGAGTGCCCCGCAAAGAAATGTGTACTATTTGTACAATATGATGATTATTCTCTTATGTCATATTCTTTCACTGTGAGATACAGCTTAATGCGTCAAGATCTGTGCTTCTCAACCTTTTTGACTTCAAGGGCCCCGAACAATTTTCGAAAGCCCCCTTGCCCTAATTTTTTTCAAAACGTATTTAAATCTATGAACACTCCTACTTTCTATAAATTTAAAAAAGTAACTACAGTAATCAATTGACATGACTCTTCCAGTCATTCACGATTTACTGGATAAGGACTTTTTTATTTCTACCTCAATTTTTCGTAATTGTTTTTTGTTTTTTAAATACGAGTTAACAACAAAAGGTTACAAATACACTAAATAAACATAAGAAAAAAGAAAGGTAAAAGGGGACACAAACAAACATGCACACATACAAATATACATATGCAAATAAACACATACACTCACCTAAAGGATTAATTAGGAACACCATACTAATACTGTGTTTGACCCCCTTTCGCCTTCAGAACTGCCTTAATTCTACGTGGCATTGATTCAACAAGGTGCTGAAAGCATTCTTTAGAAATGTTGGCCCATATTGATAGGACAGCATCTTGCAGTTGATGGAGATTTGTGGGATGCACATCCAGGGCACGAAGCTCCCGTTCCACCACATCCCAAAGATGCTCTATTGGGTTGAGATCTGGTGACTGTGGGGGCCATTTTAGTACAGTGAACTTATTGTCATGTTCAAGAAACCAATTTGAAATGATTCGAGCTTTGTGACATGGTGAATTATCCTGCTGGAAGTAGCCATCAGAGGATGGGTACATGGTGGCCATAAAGGGATGGACATGGTCAGAAACAATGCTCAGGTAGGCCGTGGCATTCAAACGATGCGCAATTGGCACTAAGGCGCCTAAAGTGTGCCAAGAAAACATCCCCCATACCATTACACCACCACCCACAGCCTGCACAGTGGTAACAAGGCATGATGGATCCATGTTTTCATTCTGTTTACGCCAAATTCTGACTCTACCATCTGAATGTCTCAACAGAAATCGAGACTCATCAGACCAGGCAACATTTTTCCAGTCTTCAACTGTCCAATTTTGGTGAGCTCTTGCAAATTGTAGCCTCTTTTTCCTATTTGTAGAGGAAATGAGTGGTACCCAGTGGGGTCTTCTGCTGTTGTAGCCCATCCGCCTCAAGGTTGTGCGTGTTGTGGCTTCACAAATGCTTTGCTGCATACCTCGGCTGTAACGAGTGGTTATTTCAGTCAAAGTTGCTCTTCTATCAGCTTGAATCAGTCGGCCCATTCTCTTCTGACCTCTAGCATCAACAAGGCATTTTCGCCCACAGGACTGCCGCATACTGGATGTTTTTCCCTTTTCACACCATTCTTTGTAAACCCTAGAAATGGTTGGGTGTGAAAATCCCAGTAACTGAGCAGATTGTGAAATACTCAGATCGGCCCGTCTGGCACCAACAACCATGCCACGCTCAAAATTGCTTAAATCACCTTTCTTTCCCATTCTGACATTCAGTTTGGAGTTCAGGAGATTGTCTTGACCAGGACCACACCCCTAAATGCATTGAAGCAACTGCCATGTGATTGGTTGATTAGATAATTGCATTAATGAGAAATTGAACAGGTGTTCCTAATAATCCTTTAGGTAAGTGTATATACATTACATAGAAAGGACATTAGGATAAACTACATACATACATGGTTACACTGTTACTAACTGCTTTTAAAGGAAAACCGACATGTTTCAATTTCATTGTATGTTATAGTTGTAACAGTATAGTATTGGAATGCAATGAGGAATCTATGTAGTGAAGGAATATAGACCGGTTGAAGATTTTACAGATGCTGTAAGTTTTTTGATATTGGATTGTGTTATTAGGAGATTGAGCCAAAGGTTTATTGATAGCTTTGTTCTGTCTTTCCAGTTAAGTAAGATTGTTTTTTGGGGGGGGGGGGGGGGGGGGTTTGCTGTAGTTCGTGCAATGAGTATAAATTGTTCTTGATGTTTGGATATAGTTAGTGTGTAGAAAAATCTCCAAGTGACGCTATTTCCGGACACGCTGGGATACTGAGCCCAAGAATCTCTGATAGCCTGCCTCGCCACGACAAAAGTGTTGAATGTATTTGCAGTCCCAAAAGGCATTGAAATGATTATCAATATAAGTTGGACAGTGTGTACATTTGTTGTTGTCTAAATATCCCATTTGGTAAAGTCTGTGCGTTGTATTATGCATTCTATGTAGCAGTTTGTATTGGATCAGTTGAATTTTACCATTACATGACAGAGTAGCCTATATTATTCCAGACGTGTTGCCAGTTAACGTTCTCTGTACCCATGCAAGCGGTCCATTTTTGATTAGGAATTACTATTTATTTGTCTGTAGTTATTAATAAGTTGTATATTTGTTACAGCACTTTCTTTGGTTTTAAACGTGAAAGGGCTTTGTAAAGAGGGGAATGATCGTTTTTATATTCCTTGAACCAACTGCTTTTCTTTTTACTTCTCTTAACTGTATGTATTGAAAGTAGGCCTAGTTTGGAATGTTATATTTTAGTTGAATTTGGTCAAAGGTCATAAGCAGGCCATCAGTGTATTTTGTATCAATGCTGTTTGGTTCCAGGTTGTGACAGTAGAAATGCATCTGATGCTTTTTGTCTTTGGTCTTTAGGTTTACTTTGATTGTGGAGCCAAGGTGGATGTTGTGGATGTGCAGGGCCTCATTCTGTCACCTGGCTTTCCATTTAACTATTCATCTGGAACTCACTGTGTGTGGCAGTTCTTTGTGCCTGTTGGTCACCAGCTAATCATGGAGATGTTTGATTTTGATGTCTTTGAGAGCCATAACAGTCCTGCAATATACACCTCCACTGTTGTGGACGAGGCACCGAATGATAGCAGCGCGCTGGTATCAAAAAGCCCTGGGAGTCCAAAAGAACCCCAGTCCACACACAGAGAGGAGGTCAAGCAAGTGGTTATCCAAGAGCAGTCCACCAAAATGGAGATGACCAAAGTTTCCAATTCTGCCAAAATGCTGTCCGATTCCCCCTCGGCTCCACAACCATCGCTTCCATTATCCGGGGAGCCGCCAGTTGAAGACAGAAATTCTATTTCACCTCAGGCATCAAGAGCAGTCAGTGACTGGATCTCCACAAGTCCACATACAGCCACAGATGAAGCTGTGAGCCCTGACACCCAGCCACCTTTGATTGATGCCTGTCCCCATGATGTCCTCTACATATCTGATCTCATCACCTTCTCCTCCCGATTCTGCGGCTCTAGACGCCCTTCTAGCAGCCAGTTGGTGTTTGGGTCTGACGATGACATGGTGGAGGTCATCATGGAGTTGATAACAACTACCCACTGGGGCCGTGGTTTTGCTCTCCTCTTCCATTACCAGAATCAAACACAAGCATTCACAACCAAACAACAGAGATCGGTATTGTCCTCAGACAGCAGAACTGGTGCACTTCTTGGTGCAGTGAGTGGAACAGTCGCGTTTGCTGTGGCCCTTGCTGGTGTCCTCTGTGTGATTTTCAGGTAAGGAGGTTTCTTCTACAAGTGGAGAGATTTATTTGTAGTTGATCCAGAAGTTACATCGTAAAAATCCCATGCAGCCATGCAAATATATCTGACTTAAGAGTTGCTGGGGGGATTGAGAGACATGTCTATATCAGGGTTTCCGTTGTCCGGTAATTACCGGACATTGGCCGGGAAAAAAATGAAATGTCCGACAAAATTAAATCTCTCCGGTCAAATTGTCCGATTAAAATGGCCTAATAATCCCGCCCCCCCTAACACAAATTGGAATTTGAGAATAAGACCGTGTCGCTTCCATTATGAGCGCGCATACATTTAACGAACTTGACCGCGCAAAAGAGCGATATGTGAGCAGGCCCTTAAGTTACATAGCCTGCCTCCAGCTTTCCTCAACTTGACTAATTAAGGGGCGATATTTGACCGGCATATCATCAAAATGTCCGTAAAACGAAAACTCTGCCGGTCACTTTGACGGCATCATTTTTTTTCTTGCGGAAACTCTGGTCTATTATATATATATAATTCTATACACAACTACTTTTCAATTGTTTGGTGTTCAATTGTCACTTTTTTTATTCAGCAAGGATGCTTTACATTGATCAATGACAAAGACATTACGTAATCTTTCCAATTATTTCTATTTCTGTTCTTTTGAACTTTAGAATATTTTTCACCAAAAAAATATTAAGCAACTGCTTTCAACATTGATAATAATAACAAATAATTTTTTTATAGGAGCAAATCAGCATATTAGACTGAATTCTGAAAGATCATGTGACGCTGAAGACTGGAGAAATGATGCTGAAAATTCAACATATAAATGAATTAATTACATCTTAACAAATTATTACAATTTAAAATAGCTGTTTTTATTTTAATATATTTAAAAATATATATTACTGTTTTCACTGATCATTGTGAAATTATAATAATGTTTAAGTCCGACATTTAAGTCTTCGTATTCAACATTTGTATTCTAACACATCCTCCTTCTCAGTCCATTACAAACTAGCTGTCTGCATCACAATTATTTTTTCATTCGTTTACTTTAGAATTAGCCATATGTCGCATATACTGTACCATGTCTGTGACAACTTAAGCTGTTGTTGACACAGCTGGGAGTATTTTTCACCATTGTTAAATCGGCTTAAATCAAGTCTTTCTTCTTCTTTTTCGGAAACACTTTGATGTTAAAACACTATTCATACCTGAGCATATTCATGGTGCCGCACCTGGCATTAAACTAAACGCACAAAAGCGAGGTGCAGTCACACAATAGAGAGGAAAGGAAGCGGAAGAAATATAAGAAGCCGAGAGAAATGGTAGAATAGAGAAAAAAAGAGACCAGTTGTCTACAAAGATGATTCAATTGTTTGTTCAATCACAAGCATGATGTTTCAAAGACTCCATCATGTAAGATTCATTCTTTGTTGGTCCCAGTGGGAATAACAGCGTGACTTTTGACACCCACAGAACTGATTTATGAAACTTGAATGAAGCGATTTATCTGTGCTGTAGTGATCTTTTCAAATGCTGTTTACACCTGGTATTAACATACATCTTTCTTGGGTGATCCAATCACATTGAAGACATATTTTAATAACCGGTGTAAACAGGGCCATTTCTAAATTTTATTGTTACAAACAGAATTTATTTGTTTGCATGTTTGTTTACAGAATTTATTCTTTCCAACACATGTTTGGCTTTTAACAATACACAACTGTTTTGGGATATTTTAATATACCTTGTTTGTTTGGAGACTTAAGGCACATTTGCCATTTAGTGGGATTTGCCTTTTATGAACTTCACACGGTGGCCGTGTAGTGTAAGGTAACACCAAAATCTATTGACATGACATCCCACAGTCCATTGGTGGATCATAACAAAGGGTTTATTAGGAATAGATATATCCCAAAATTGCCTACAGGTATATTGTAATCCAATATATCTCAGTGTAAATGCACAAGTATAAAGTATACAAGCATACAGTATAAAGTATACAAGTATAATGTTCTTTTAGTATAATGAACTTTTATTTAATTTATTTTATTATTCATTTTATTGTAGAATTCAATTTTATTTTAATAATGAACAGGTGGGCCTTATAAAACTATTATTTTCAACTATTCACTGTGGGGTATTCTGCTAATATTACTGTCTGGTTATAAATTTCATCAGTAGATACATTAAATGTCTTTACTGATGACCTGACCTAGGCTTCAGAGGTCATGCAATAACATTCGATTTTAAAGCATAAATTCCTGCTTCACCCTGCAACTTACTCCTACCAAAACTCCTACTGTGAGCATACCAGACAGTTCTCACCATGTCCTACCAGAATTCATAGCAGATATTTGAATGTCGTTCAGCTGAGAGAAGTAAACACTCATTTAATAGAACACTTGATGACCAATAACATTGACAGTAAAACAAACAAGATAATGTTATTTATATTGTTGTTTTCCCAGACCGAAACTATGCGCAAAAGGGGCCAATGCTTCATCTTCCATCAGCTCAGAGGTAAAGTCAAAATATGAGACGTGTGTGTATATATATGTATACATAATACATACATACATGTGACAATTGAATTGTTGCTCCTTAAATATTAGATGAGCAGTCTTGATCTCTGTCCCAAAAACATGAATACACAGTGATTTTTGTTCCTCTTTTTCTTTCTGGTGGCGAGTCTTCAGTTTGCACTGACATTAGGTGCTTGGCGAGTGTTCATTTTGGACCCTGTCTGTTCATGCAGAAATAATGTGAGGTACTGTGTTGTAGGCTCCAGAAGGAGTGCTAAATTCAGCGGCAGATGTGAGTGAGCTGCAGATGGTTTCTCCTAATGACTTGGAGCAGCAGCTGGGTACAGTGAACGACAACAACAACCATTCCCTCAACCGCAGTCTGTCCCATACAGGTGCTTAGTATGTCTTTATGCGTCCACTAACTCATTTTATTTTCTCTCTCTCTCTCTCTCTCTCTCTCTCTCTCTCTCTCTCTCTCTCTCTCTCTCTCTCTCTCTCTCTCTCTCTCTCTCTCTCTCTCTCTCTCTCTCTCTCTCTCTCTCTCTCTCTCTCTCTCTCTCTCTCTCTCTCTCTCTCTCTCTCTCTCTCTCTCTCTCTCTCTCTCTCTCTCTCTCTCTCTCTCCCTCCCTCCCCTTCTCTCTCTCTCCCTCCCTCCCCTTCTCTCTCTCTCCCTCCCTCCCCCTTCTCTCTCCCAGATTTATTGTTTTCTTTATTGATGTTGTCAGATGAAGTGAACTTTAGGGTCACTGGGTTCCTGTTCGGTAAAGCTGCTGAGTTCATTTGTCCCCTTTCTGAACCTATACATTTAAGATTCATTTGGCTCTTCTAGGAACAGATAAAAAGCTAAATTACTGAAATTCAAGAACAGTACTGCAAGACTACTAGAACTCCATTAGGGTGTAGCTTGCTGAAAAGTGAATTTCCTTCTCTATTCAAACCACCTGGAAATAACTGCATTTGAAGCAACACAATGCCATCTGTTTTATGTTTCAACAGAAACAACAAGGTGCATTTCATTATTTTTCATGCAAAATTATATGTGAAATAATAATATGAAAGTTATGTGTGAGGTTTTTCTGTTTCTCCGGAGACTGCACCATTTGTGTCCCCATTTACTACTAATATAAAATTTAGAAAAAGATCACAGATTGAACTTTTGATTCAATTCTGTTTAGTGTCCAATAAAAATATTTGTTTAATTGCAATGAGTATCATTAGTATTAATGATAAATGAACTAGTACTCACAGTCCTAAACATATGGACCCAGCTGTTAAACCTGTATTTGTTGATGACTGGTGTGACTTTACGGTGGGACAGTATGATTTTGTGAAAGTTCAGCAGTAACTATTTCAAATGAAATTATGAACAAAAAAAAACACTTTTCCCCCCCCCTTTTTTTTTTTTGTCTGAGCCATGAATATTTTCTAAACACAAATGTATGAAGTCACTTTATCTTAATGGGAGGTCGAGAATATATGCAGTACTTATATCGGCCTTATGCTAAGCTCTAAATCAGAAAATCCCCCTTTCTTTAGTTTGGTCCAATCGTACCAGCTAGAGAACTTAAATGTTTCCATTTAAGCTACAAATAAGCATTGAGTTACTGATCTGAAGTATTTTTTTTAGGCACCATGTCAAATGCAAACAGTTGTTTAGCTTTTTATATATGCGTTAAACTGAAGTATTTACAGTCGTTTTATAAATGTGACATTCCACATGTTCACGGTGTTGTGCTCTGAAGCTTGTGACGTGTCAGAGAAGAGTGATCTGCAGCTGTTCTCCAGTGGTCTTGCTGAATTAGAGCTGGGCACAGATGAGGTTTTTGTCATCGCCTCTGCACCCACCTCAGCCCAACTGCCCTTCTCTCCACATACTGTGAGTATCTGATTCTCCTTCTACATTTCTACATCCAGAAATAGATTAGAAACTTAGCCTAAGCCTAAACTTTTGTACAATAGTATATATACACACTCACCTAAAGGATTATTAGGAACACCTGTTGAATTTCTCATTAATGCAATTATCTAATCAACCAATCACATGGCAGTTGCTTCAATGCATTTAGGGGTGTGGTCCTGGTCAAGACAATCTCCTGAACTCCAAACTGAATGTCAGAATGGGAAAGAAAGGTGATTTAAGCAATTTTGAGCGTGGCATGTGTGGCGATATGGAGAAAAACGATCCATATCAGCTTTTTCACATTTCATTATGGGCGGAAACCAATAGGGAAATGGAGGATAAAAGAGAGCTAGAAACGGAAGTGAAAAAAAAAAAAAAGAGAACGGAAGTGAGAGAACGAAAAAGAGGAAACACACGTGTAGGAGATTGAAGTGGGACCCAAGTTACCTGAAGAAAGTTGCTGCTATTGTCTGCGTGAAATTCTGTGTGTGTGCTGCTGGGTGCGATTGCCGGAGGGACGGAGAAATAGAACTCTTCCTGGTTCATTGCGTTGCCTGGAGCCACACTATCCACTATCCAGATTGGTTCACCTGCCTCGGGTTATTGAAGTGGGACGCTCACGCTACCTGAAAGACGTTGCTGCTGTTATCCGCTGGAAATCCTGTGTATGCGCTGCTGGGTGTGACAGCCAAAGTGACGGAGAAAAAACGATCTTCCTGGTTCGTTGCGTTGCCTGGACTGGAGCAACACTATCCAGTTTGATTCGCCTGCTTCAGGTACTGATCTTGTTGCCATCACTTTGAACCCTCACGTCAAAGCCTTTGAACTCTCCTCCGAACTTTTTAATCTCACATAAACATTCAAAGCTTATTGTCCCGGCCAAGGATTAATGCAAAGTGTCCAAATACTTTTGAAGGTCACTCTGATATATTTTATATTTTTTTAAATGGTGTTTTCATTGCTCTCTTAGTACTGGAATTGTTTGATACTCTGTTTACTTTTGCTTGGTAGTTTCAAACGTTCTTCATGACACTGCACCAGCTATTCATGCTGAAAACAATTCAGTGTAGTACGCTGATGGAGGCCAAACTTCATGGTGTGTGATGATGTGCTGGATGAGGGGCAGAGAAGTAGCTCTTCACTAGAGGCTGCTGGGACAGGGGGAGCTGGCCCGCTAATAGCTCTGACTAATGAATGCTATAAGTCTGTAGCCAATTTCCCAGCTCCAGCTCTGTGTGTGTGTGTATGTGTGTGTGTGTGTGGTCCATGCTGCTTTGGCTCTGAAATGTGGCATGAAAAATTTGCCAAGCTGTGTGTTCATCCAAGGAGGTTTGAGAAGAATCCGAAACCTGCGTCTCTGTGGTGTCCGGCTGGGTTCCTGCTAACTGTTTGGCGCTGTTGGTTCTTTATCCATATTTGTTTTTGCCTTTGCCAACAACCGGAATATTTGGTATTGTCTTGGTTAATTTATGGAACAGTGCCAGAACAGCTCAAGATTAAACCCTGCATAATACTCGTCTAGACATGGGGAGCTGCAAGAGATCATGTGTGAGGACTGTCAAACTCCTACTGATGAGAAACCCCCTTCTGATACTCACCCACATGCTGCACATGTCCAGTTAACAGCTGACTGACACATTTGGAGGTCTCGTGGACCCCATTTAGATTACACCCTCTGCCACGGCATCTGAAACTGCTCAAGAGAATGGGAGAAATCCATTTTAATCCTACTAAAGCAACTCCTAAAGCAAAAGTTGGTCTCTGGATATAGATTCACTGACTTCAGCAGGCTCATACTGCACTGGAAGCCAAAGTCCCACATTTATTAGATCCTTTACACTAATGAAAGTTTATTCATTATAAAATATCATTTCAAGTAACTTGGAGTCAGTGATTTTGACCATTTATGAAGCCTAAATTACTTTAATCAGGAAAGTGGCTTACAAAGTTCACACTGGACTCATTCTGAAACTATTTAATTGTATTATCAAGATAATTATAGTAGTATTATAGATTGTTGTACAATCTTAATGGATTTCCTTTTCCTCAAATATTTGATAATACTTATTTTGAGAATTCCTTTTTGATGAAAGTGGTAAACACATTTGAACACGTGTTTTTATAATATAAAATAATTAATAATATAAATAATATAATAGTTCTGTGATGGTAAAGCTGAATTTTCATCATCTTTACTCCAGTTTTTCAGTATTATCAGTAATAACAATAATAATAATTCGTTATATTTATATATATATATATAATGTTTTTATTGATAATAAAAACATTTATTTTTATTATCAATGGTGAAAACAGTTGTGCTGCATAGTATTTTTGTGAATAATATTTTTTCCCCAGAAAGTTTATTTAAATAAAAATAGAAACTCTCACTTTAATCCATCCTTGCTGGATTAAAGTATTCATTTCTTTAAAAAAAAATCTTACTGACCCCAAACTTTTGAAAATGTATAATGTAATTTATTTTTATAATATAATATAATATAATATATCCCTTTGCGTCAGGGTCCTGATCACCCTGTCTGGGTTTATTCTGAGATAACAACCGGCTGGATGTACATTATCCCGCTTATTACACGGCCACTTGCCACGTAAGTAAATAATTAGACATGAAATATTGATCTGAGTCGAAATATTTTATTAGGTCTTTAAATGCAAAGCTTTCGCTGAGAGAGCAGTTGCTAGCGCGGCAAGTTCAACTAGATGGGCATTTAAGGGTTACGGTACAGTCATACCACTTAGTGCACGGTATTTCACCACGTAAATAATTATGGAGATAAGAGATATTGATTTGATATGAAACTGTTTAAAATCGTTCCTGTTTGTTATCTTATAATCCATTTCAGTGTACAAAACAATGCAATATGCCAGAAGCTGCGTTTGAATGAAACGAGATAGCGAGTCCGCGATACCGGATGACATCATTAAATAACTGTTCACAAAATATTGATTTGACTTTTAATATTTTATTAGCTCACCAAACGCAAAACTTCCACAAGGAAAAAACATTCCTAGCAAGCTTAAACTTAAAGCGCCGACTTCAGTTACCCGGATGGGCCTGTGTTATCAGTTTTTACCGGTTGTTATCGGGGAACAACATACCGCTGGATGGACCAATCAGAATTAAGTATTCCACAGAGCCATGCAATAAAATGAATATTAATGTTTATTCGACCATCCACAAAAGGGTAAAACTATCATTACACAAGTGAACAATACAAATGCATAATATTTCCAAGAAAATGTGATTCTGACCATTTGTACATATCTTTTTGCATTTAGTACACTATCTAAAGTGCCTGACAAGTAGTAATCTAGAGAATTAGTAGTGCTACCATATCAAGTATTTATTACAACATAGAGGGGTTTATAGTTTGTCAGTTATAAAAAAAATAAAAAAAATCTTCATCTCCTAAATTTGTTCTCTCTTTTGTAGCAACGAGAGCGTTTCCTGAGACACAGTGACACGGGACCCAGCCGCCCCTTCGACTGGTCAACCCCAGATCCAGCACTGCCTACTGTGATAAAGAGCAGCCAAACCGGATCGACAAACAGCACACGACCACGAGCGTGGAGTGTCCGAACCTTCCAGGATCTCCTTCCTCCTCTTCCTCAACTCCATAAGAAATGGTGCAGCTGGAACGCAAACAGCCCTTTCACCAAGCTGGTGGACAGTGTGAGTAATGACACATAAGCCCTTTTTAATCACATAAAAAATATGATTCAAATTTCATTAGTGAGAGAATTTTACAAATTCTTACAAATGTGTAAAATTTACAACCTATCTTTCGGACCCATAAATACGCATGCTCTTAACGATGACCTCGATGAAGAACATTCATCACGTGGCAAAAAAAAAAATCAATTGCTTTCGATGTCTAAGATATAAGTGTTTTTCTTTCATGCTGTAAGGTATACTAAAAAGTCTCCTATGTTCATCAATATTGATCATATTATTATTATTATTATTATCAAACTGTGAAATACAATTTAAAACAACTTTTTTTCTATTTGAATGTATTGTAAAATATAATGTATTTCTGTGAAGTCCAAGCTGAATTTTCAGAAGCCATTACTCCAGTCTTCAGTGTTTCAGTGCAACACAAAGTACATTATTTTGTATTTTGAGAACTGTAACGTCCCAGTATTATTAAAGTTGTCATCACAAACAGGCATGTACATAATGTAAACCTTTTAATTTGTCATTCATTTTAAATATGAGTCTACGGTCAGAAAAAAATAATTTAACTAATTTGAAGAGCCCATCAATGTTTCTCATTACTTGAAACATCCTGTTTCAATATGAAATATCAACACAGGAAATAAAATAGTGTTGTTGTATTTTTAGAATAGATATAGTAATGAAAAAGGTTTTCAACATTTTTATTTTATTTACTGTGACTATGCACTCAGGGACTCCCAAGCACAGCTACAGATGCTGGAAGAGGAAAGGTCCTTTCTGATGCCCCTCTTCACAGTCCTGCCAACAGCTGCCAGTCCGACTCCTTCATGAGCAATGCCTCGTACCCCCTGACTCAACCCGCCCAGCGCCAGCGACGGCTCAACTCCACCAGCAACCTGCGACGCACCCGTTTCAACACTCCATGCTTTGGCCTGCTCTCTGGCACGTCCGAGTCCTCCAAACCACAAGCCAATGGAATTACAACCTCGAACACACTCTCCGACACCAGCCAGCAGCAGGACCAAGCTGAAGTATCAGGCGTGGAGGACGACCACGTCACGGTACCTGTGTTTGCAATCTCAGAAGAGGAAGACCGACAGCCTCTTGTGTCAGCAGAACCTCCAGAGAAGCCTTTGAGGATGAATGGACAGATGTTTGAAGGCACAAATATGCCACTGCTATCCAAAAGCCAAGTCGCCAGCATCCATCCAACCTCTTTAGGGAGGGGAGGTCGTGGTGGGACGTTGGAGACGCAGGATCCTTCAGCTCTCTCTTGTTAACAGTGACTCCAGGAACAGTCTGCCAGTGCCACGAAGTTTAAGTATGATGGTCATGTGACCGATTCAGCCAATAGATGATTAGAAAAGAACTGAAAACGCACATCTTATGAGCTGCTGCTCCTGGTGTCTTCAGCACATATTTGGTGTGTGACAATGTACCGTGGAATTTTAAAGGGGTTTTCTTTGGAATGTTGGCATGAATGAAAAACGAAAGCACTTATTGTTCTTCCTGTTATTGTATCAGCACAGTTAATTTGCTAAATATAAAACCATCTAACGGTATATTTTATAACCTGCAATTGTTTTGAAAGCACTCATGCATGTATAAGATAAACTGTTAACAATGATCACGTAATTCCACTCACTACTGAGAGTTTGAGTTGTAGACTGGGTGCATTGTTACTTTCATTATGAAATTCCATATATCTGCTCTATGAACAATAAGGCTTGTTCCTAATCCCTTTGCAACACGTAGAAGACCAATTAGCAGATCTAGTAGAAAGCTGCTTTGCATCTCTTCAACTTCAACTTTTTTTTTTTATTCACCATGGGTCCAATACACGTGTTGTACTGTTAAAAAAAAAGAATCTGTGTGTTAGTAAAGCATTTGAAATGGCATATATTCTTAATTCTCAAGGGACATAACCACTGCATAATTCATGTCAACATGTTTAAACTGTTCTACAAATAATTTCAATTGTTCTTTTTTTCACCTCCTTTTTCACTTACTTCTGTGCCTTTTGGCAATCATCTATGCTGCTAAATATACACTGATGCAATAACTGAAATTTTGTGTATACAATCATATTTTTATTACAATTTCGTATATAATGCAACTGTTTTCGTTATATGGTGTTTTCCTGAATGCAGTAATATTGTCAACTGTACTGATTTTGATGGATTATAAAGGGAATTGATCACTGTACAGAAATGCAGTAACTAACATTTAATGCAAATAAACATTGTATAGTGAAGTTGTGTGGCTTCTGTACTATCACTTCAGAATATGCATAGAAAGGGGAGTCATATAATTGAATGTAGTCTTTTATTATTAGTGCAGTAAATTAGACAAGGTTTTATTTCTAGGCATTACAAACATGAGGCACAGCAAGCGCTAATTCAACTATGGAACTTACAGTGCTATTATATGTGCTTCTCTATCGTTACTGATAAACAAAGTTTTTTTTCCTCCCCATTTCAAAGCCCCAGTTTAAACTTTGATGAGGTAGAAATAAAACATTAAAAAAAAACTTTTCTGAAAGGAAGAAAAAAAAACTTCCCACCCATGCAAGTAAATATTTGCTGTGGAATACATTTCCCTTTCAGCAAATGCAAAGCAGCCTCCAAAGCTTCTCTAACACTCGGGACCAACCCCGAATAAATCCCTCAACCATTCCTGCAGATTTTAAGAGTTCATAGTATGAGACCCGCTTTAGAGCTTACATCATAACACTATTGAATTTCACTAAAACCACCTTTTAGGTGCATACAAGAGCCTGTTTCAAAGAAAACTATAACAGGTGCATGTAGATATTTAGAAAGGTGTAATCAGATTTGTATCTGATTGTATATTAATTGGTATGACAAATAATCCTATATATGTATGAATGTGTATTTTTGCATTTTTTAAAAAGTAATATTTTGCATACCAGTTAATATACAATATGATAAAATTTAGGGAGTTACTTAAAAATGCATCTACCAAATGCATAAATGAAAATTATATATATAGTTATTAAACAGGTGCAAGCAATCATTAATTTGCAGCACTAAACTTCATTGTACAAACATTCCCAAAGTAGGGAAAAGTAAGGGTAGGCGAGTTATCCTGTGTAAAACCACAACGTAACATTCACTAATGAACTGTAGCAAATCCACCAAATGTGGGCGTTTGTCAGATGCCATTAGTTTAGTGTGTGAGGATTTAGAGTGCTGAGCCATTCTGTCCACCTTCATTAAAGAGCAGTTGAGGGCTGTAGAGAATTGACCTCTATGGTTGCAGGAAGCCTAATCTGAGCCTCTGAAGAATGTCTTGGTGTGAGGGACCACAGAGCCGATAAATATGGCACAAGGCAAAAAAATAAAGGAGGCATCACACCCTTTTTCAACAATATCATCTAACAGTAATGCAAAAAGTTCCCTGCAAGGTGAGGCACCAACTTTTAGGTAAAAATATATATATATTTCATGAATTAAATGGGTTTTATAACAGAAGAAACAACCTCAAACATAAAGAAAAGTTAAAGTTGAAGGGTAAAAATGTTCTTAACTTTAAGAATTTTCATGTGGCTTGAAGCTTAATGCCACATTTTAACGACTGATTGTGGTTACAGTTTAATGGATCACATAGTGGACGCATGTACAATACATTTAAACTTATAAAAAAAGGTAAATATTTGGGAAAACTGGCTAAAACCAATGTGGTTTACGGAGTTAAACAACAAATAGAGCTTAGTGTTAAATGTATACACCTACTGAAATGCAACTTCTGGGGTAGATGGAAATAACTATTTTCTAGTATAGAAATACAGCTCTAGCCTAGTTAGAAAATATTTAAAGAGCTATTATATGGCCTTACCATCTACCTACATAACCCAACCAAAGCTACAAGTGAAAGGAAACCTAAAATATGTTAGTAACGTGGGAAAAGCATCGACTAGCTAAAACTGGCCTTGTTTGAATACGAATTTCATAAACATTTCCCCAGAGGCAACAGCAAAAATGCCATAATCATAAGACGCGCAAGTCTATATTATAAATCAGATTTGACTTGATTATCCCTAGCAGTGCGATATAACCCTCAGTCTTGTTTTATATATATATTATTAATCTCTCATATGCCTTTAGAACAGCCCTGCAAATGAAAGAGAACAAATACACACAAGGGCTTATGGCCCTTAGAAAAATAATGAAGAACAACATGCTGAATACCTAACATGTCAGTTTAGTGCACTTGATCAGTCACCTCACCTCTAAAACATAATCATCCCTTTTTTATAACATACATTTTCAATGTTCTCAGTAGCATGTAAATGTCTTGAGCAGTACATAATAATACTAGTAATACATTGAGATGTCCAACATAACATTTGAAAGAACTGTGGCATATGCAAAGGAGCGCACAAAGAACACTCAAAGTCAACTCTTAGGCACCAAAGGCTGGTTATATAATTTGTATATTATATATTGTTTAAGCTAAAAAGCTTTTTGAAAGAAAAAGTGATTGCCGACGTAGTCTCGTTTTACAATTACAAGCAGAGATGTGACATGAATCCATAGTGGAATGAAGTGTGCATACTGAAAGTGTGACCGTCAATCCATTATGGAAAATTAGTGTCCGTCTCTACACACAGTGCAGATCCGGATCAAATGTTTCCATATGCTTCAAGGATGATTGGTTTATCATCATCTGATTGACTTTTGCTTATGTAAAGATGCCATCTAGAGGAGAAAAAGAGGTATAACACCTGCCCGCAGCAATGGTAATAAAGCTACGGTCAAATCAAGCGTCACTCCACCAGCTTTAGTTCTTAAACCGCGTCTGCTCGCACACGTGGTTGAATTTCCTGAAAGAGGAGAATACAAAATTACTGATTAGGATTGATCATTGTGTGTCATCCCAGATATAGGATTATGATCATTTAAAGACTTTTTATATAAATGTACTAGCAAACAGATCTATGTTGTTGTACTTCAGACTGACACTACATAGATGTGCATTAGCTGCCCTCTACTGGTGGATTCAAGTATGGAGCACTTCAGAGGATGGACGAGACTAACTGTTAAGATTAACTGTGGTTTAACTTACAAAGCGTGGTGTGCTTTCACTTGAGTCCGACAGTTGCGTCCCCAGTAACAGTCTGGTCTGGTGGTCACAGTATCTGTGGAAAAACAAGCAAACTTACTGCATCACTTCCAGTTTATTCAGTAGTTTTATAGATTTGGCACGACATAAATACCGTGCCACTAATATGACTGTGCAGCTTTGTGTTACTTTAATGCATATGAGTCTTACCTGGCAGCTCTGATGGAGGAATACGCTCTCTGTATTTGTATGCGATCTCTCTAAAAGTGCGAAGTCCACAGCAGTAGCACAGGAAAGAGTTGGCAGTGATTCTGTAATCTGAAATACATACAACTGTGAATTACAACAGGGCATCACTTTCAAACAAATAGTAGTAGTTGAACTGACTTAATTTCTTGTTTGCAGTAAAATGACGAATCAGCTGAAATTTTTTAATCCGCATTGTTGGAAAATATGCATTCAAATCAATTTATGCTCAGAGAAAAAGACGAACAGCTTGTTAGAAAAAAAGATCTCTGTGATGTACAAAGACAGTGCACTAAAATTATTATGAATGGGAGAAAGTGTAACGCACAATATGATGGGATAAGTCCCGCTTTCTAAATAAGATCACTGCAGTTTCTTTTAGACACAGCTGTTCTGAGACGCACGCTTATGACTGCACATGCGCATTGGTGGGTCCAGCCTGAAAACCTTTTTTTTTGTCATGATTTGAGCTTTTAGAAACAACATTTATGAGACAGTTGTTGTCAGATTTCATTGGTGATTTCAAATATGAAATCATAAGCTTTGGAGAATTTGATGTTTCCATGTTCAAAGAGATAAGAGCTGTACTTGTATGACTGAAATAGCTGCCCGAGAGGCTTTACAAAGATGGCCGCCGAGTAAAATGACTTGCCTTAAAGGGACTTTGTGTGAAACCAACACCCCACAATCACTTTTCACAAAAACGTGCATATTGGGATAAATATAACACATCCCACAAAATGTTTAAGAATATTGCAGTATTATTTTCCTTCTATCACCCAGCCTCAACAATTCTCAATATTACCAGAGAGATGGTACAGGCCCTGCTGTACAGCCTGGAGCGCTTCCTGCAACATGTGTCTCCAGCTCATTCCCCGAGAAGTCAAATAGTTCTGCCACAAAGAAAGCACAAATGATCAACAAACACAGAGCTTATACAGTTATAGCATTCAAATAACACTTGAATTTAAAACTAAATATTTCTGATAAAACATCCTCCTAATAATTAACTTGTTTGTTACATGGGAGTGGTGCTTTTGCAAAGGTAACCAAGGTCCTTATATCGTTATAGGCTAATTAAGTTAAAAATCTGCCTTTTCTGCTGAATCAACAAAACTTTTATTTTATTTTATTGCACTAAGATCTAAGTTAGTGCATTAGTGTGTACTTTAGAGTTAGTTCACCCAAAAATGAAAACTATCCCATAATTTACTTACCCTCAAGCCACCCTAGGTGTATATGACTTTTCCTCTTTCAGCTAAACACAATCAGAGTTATATTTAAAAATATCCTGGCTCTTAGAGACTTCAGATGCCCCAAGACCTGCAATGAGATGACTAAACGCCTGTGAAGAGACGACTCAACGCCGGCGATATGTTATGCCCTAAATTAATACACGATTAACTAACTGTATTTTTCTATGTACATTTCTGAAATGCACTTTCTGTAAAGCTGCTTTGAAACAATATGTATTGTGAAAAGTGCTATACAAATAAATTTGAATTGAATTGAATTCCAAGCTTTATAATGGGAGTAAACGGTACCTTAGATTTTGAAGCCAAAAAAGCGAATCCATCCATCAAAAAAGTAATCCATACGGCTCCAGGGGGTTAATAAAGGCCGTCTGAAGCAAAGCGATATTTTTCTAAGAAAAATATCCATGTTTATGACCAGCGGTAGAGTTCCGGCGGAAGAGTGACCTCTGACCCGACACATGACATTGACAAACGTAGAAACGCAGAGGATAGAGCAAAACAAAACACCGGTCACGAATTAGAAGTCTAAAAGGAGAATTTTTAAAGAGAAATGTCAGAGGATTTAGATATACGAGAGAAGAAGAGCTTGAGTTTGTTGCCCAGCCCTGTTTGTTTTAACCGCGAGAGGCATCTACTCTCACCTAAGACATAGAACACTATACATTCCTATTATTCAAATCAGTTAAACGATTATTAGGCTGCATAAATTAGGTCAGCCGGAACCGGGAACACTTCCTATAACACCTGATGTACTCGCTATATCATAAAAAGAATGGCATCTACGTCAGCCGGACCCGGGCCGTATCCAGATCAGATGGTGGACTTGCGCCTGGACACGACCACAACGCATCCCTGAGGTGCCAGCCTCATCAGCCCTGTGAAGGCCTCATGGACACCTCATGGAAACTCATAATCATACACTGTTCGTTCGTTGGCCAGAGGAGAACTGGGCCCCGGCAAGGTTTTTTCCTCCATTCCGTCACCTGATGGGAGTTTGGTTCCTTGCCACTGTCGCCTTTTTCGCCATTGGCTTTTGGCTTGCTTAGTTGGGGACATTTCATTTTATATTTAACAATATTATTACAACATTATTTCTCTGGTTTCTCTGTAAAGCTGCTGAAACAATCTGTATTGTAAAAAGCGCTATATAAATAAAGGTGACTTGATTTGACCTAAGCTTACGCTGCTCCTACATCGGGTCACAGATCACTCTTCCACTGGAACTAGACTCACGTACAGTCGTTACCGGAAGCCAGTGATTGTGGCTTATAAAGTTATAAATATGAATATTTTTCTTACAAAAACACATTCGCTTCGCTGTATGGATTACTTTAATGATGGATGGATGTGCTTTTTTGGGCTTCTAAAAACTCAGGCTCTATTCACTCCCATTATAAAGATTGTGTTTGGCTAAAAGAAGAAAGTCATATACACATAGGATGGCTTGAGGGTGAACAATTTTGGGTGAACAAACCTTTTAAGATGAATACAGTTCCTTATTTTAAAAGTCAGACAATGGGATTTTTTGCCCATTTTATCATTCATCAGGCAAAAAAAGGTCATATGATTTTGGTTAGAGGTTGCATGCATGTCTGTAGCACAACACTGGATGAGTTAAAAGTTTCATACTTGTAAAGTTCATCAATTATGAAATAAGTTCAATTCAGCCATAAAGCAGCTCTGCAGTGATGTCATGATCAAGCTTTTATTCAGTTCAAGTTTACTTCTCATCCAATAGTGTCAGTGCAGTCACAAATACTATAATAATACATTAATAATACTGGTCTCAAGTATGAGCAAAAGAACCTTACATACCTGAAGGACTTCAGACTCATATTGATTGCCATTAAAAACTCCATCCAGACATTTGTCATTAAGGTTAAGATCTGTGAGGAGAAATATCCATAATCATTATTATAAAAAAACACAGGCAGTCAGAAAATTATTATACAGAAATCAGAAACCTACCACTGAAATGCGCTAGGCAGCCGTGACAACCGATCCGCTGGCAGCCCCAGTACACGTGACAGAAAGGTTTCTGGCACACCATACCTGTTCAAAGGAGCGGACGACAAATCATCAGGTGACTGCAGTAGGCCTGAGAACATTGATGGACAGGTGTCAGGGCCACTCACAGTGCTGCGGGGACATCTGAGGGGGAAGGTACTCGAAGCGTCGGTCAGGCATGGGCTGCAGGCAGCAGGTGCAGATGAGGTGACTGCCCTGAGGAGCACACCTGAACTCCTGAGGATCTGCAGTAGGAATACAGAGGATTTCAGCATGTAGAAAGGCATGGATTTCTCTGTTGGTGTGTGTGAGTGCATGGTTTAGGCTCAAATGTGAGCGTGAATGACCTGTGGAGGTACCGGAGGATGTAGAGGGCCCGTCTCCAGGTACTTTAGCTGGTCCTTCAGATTGAGCAGGCTCACAGATCCACAGGGCAGAGCTGAGCTCCTTCCGATAGCCCGGACACTGCCGACACATCATGTAGGGCTGACTGTGTACAAGCAAAGTTAATCAGGGTGGGTTTTCCAGGAGGTTGAAGTGAAATATACTGCATATTCATTTCAAGCACTTCCATTTAACAAAAACACAAGGCTCTGAATGGATAACAGTGTAAAGATTCTGACCTCATGTCAGAAATGTCACTGTCATTGTCTGAGAGTTCAAACAGATAGTCTGAACTGCCCTCCTCGTCCGAGAAGGAGCGCTCGACTTTCGGCTGCAGCATGTCCTGCGTGATCTTGTTCTGGGCATCCATGCTGCGCAGGTCATCTTCACTCCGACACTTCTCTGAGACCAAAACAATACATAAAAAATAAAGCCGCAAAAATGTAAAAACAATTGTTCAAAAGTTTGGAGTCAGCAAAGTTTTTAAGAAACGACTCCTTTTATACTGCAAGGATGCCATCAACAGTGAGTTAGGGCATTTATAAATGTTCCCAAATATAAAAGAAGTGTTTTTAATTCTTTGATTAATAGAAAGTTTAAAAAACAGCATTTATTTGAAATATATACAGGTCCTTCTCAAAAAATTAGCAAACTGTGATAAAGTTCATTATTTTCCATGATGTAATGATAAAAATTAAACTATGACATGGCACCCCAGACCATCACTGACTGTGGGTACTTGACACTGGACTTCAGGCATTTTGGCATTTCCTTCTCCCCAGTCTTCCTCCAGACTCTGGCACCTTGATTTCCGAATGACATGCAAAACTGAGCCACAGTCCAGTGCTGCTTCTCTGTAGCCCAGGTCAGGTGCTTCTGCCGCTGTTTCTGGTTCAAAAGTGGCTTGACCTGGGGAATGCGGCACCTGTAGCCCATTTCCTGCACACGCCTGTGCACGGTGGCTCTGGATGTTTCTACTCCAGACTCAGTCCACTGCTTCCGCAGGTCCCCCAAGGTCTGGAATCGGTCCTTCTCCACAATCTTCCTCAGGGTCCGGTCACCTCTTCTCGTTGTGCTGCGTTTTTTGCCACACTTTTTCCTTCCCACAGACTTCCCACTGAGGTGCCTTGATACAGCACTCTGGGAACAGCCTATTTGTTCAGAAATTTCTTTCTGTCTTACCCTCTTGCTTGAGAGTGTCAATGATGGCCTTCTGGACAGCAGTCAGGTCGGCAGTCTTACCCATGATTGCGGTTTTGAGTAATGAAACAGGCTGGGAGTTTTTAAAAGCCTCAGGAATCTTTTGCAGGTGTTTAGAGTTAATTAGTTGATTCAGATGATTAGGTTAATAGCTCGTTTAGAGACCCTTTTCATTATATGCTAATTTTTTGAGACAGGAATTTGGGTTTTCATGAGCTGTATGCAAAAATCATCAGTATTAAAACAATAAAAGACCAGAAATATTTCAGTTGGTGTGCAATGAATCTAAAATATTATGAAAGTTTAATTTTTATCATTACATTATGGAAAATAATGAACTTTATCACAATATGCTAATTTTTTTTAGAAGGACCTGTATATATTTCAAATAAATGCTGTTTTTTAAACTTTCTATTAATCAAAGAATCCTGAAAAAAAAATAATCAATGGTTTCTACAAAAATATTAAGCAGCACAACTGTTTTAAACAATGATAATAAGAGATGATTTTAGCACCAAATCAGCATATTAGAATCACAGGAATAAATTATTTTAAATTGTAAAACTATTTCACAACATTACTGTTCTTACTGTATTTTTGACAAAATAATTGCAGTGTTGATGAGCATAAGAGACTGCTTTACCTGACCATCCTATTTGTGCAAAGTAGTTTTAATGGATCAAAAGTGCAAACTCTTAGCAGCAAATATGCTTAAAAACAACAACACATCTCTGTAAACACTTTGATATTGACTATTTATCTTTTTGGCTAGGTTGTGTTTGATAAAGTACCTGGGTGCTGGAGAAGGTAAGCCTCCACCAGGTTGTTGAGAATGTGGTTTTTACGGATTCTCTCCACAGGACATCGGCAGGTGGGGCAGAAGGAGGAACGTTCCATCCAGCCAGAATAACAGGCAGCGCAAAATGTATGCATGCAGGGCTGAAGACTGTAAGGAAGCACAACATTCATTCAAACTCAGTCTCCACACATCTTACTAAAATCTTTCTTTAAAGGATTTGTATAAAGGTTTACATTAAGAAAACAACTAAGGGATTTATGTTGGCCAACATGTCCATTCGGGTTTAAGTGTTAATTTGCGCACACTGGACTGACCTGACACAGTCATGCAGCAGGTCTTGGCAGACGATGCATGTGAGGGATTCTTCCATCTTGTCTGTTGTGGCTCCCTCGGTTTTCTCTTTTCCCGCTGCTCCTCTGATAGGAACCTGAGGAGCTGCTGCAGAAACAGCAGATTCACTGAGAGTAGATCCAAACCCATTCTGATCATCTGTAAGACAGATAGATACACACACGTTACATTTAAAAGTGTTCATATTCTAGAACAGATAAGATAAGTCATAGATAAGTCATTTCAAACTCTAAAAATATTTCACAATATTACTGTATCTTTTAACCCTTTAAGTGTCACCCCCCTTTTTTTGAATATACATGAAAATGCACATTTCAAACTTAAATGGTTGTAATTCAAGAATGCTTTGGAATATAGACGTAAGATTGGTCTCGTTTTAAAGAAGACATTTGGCAGATTTTTGTAGAAGTGAAATACATGAAGAAAGTGAAACAGAAAAAAAGTTATAGAAGTTTGAGTTTATGAAAATGTACAATGTAAAAAATTGAATTATTCATATTTTATATAAAATGTATATTTTCAAAACCTGGGCGACTCTAAAACTGCAAAAAAAATCAAAGTCAAAAATCTGAAGAAGTTGTGTTTCAAATTTTAGGTTGATATCTCAAAAAATGAGCTTTCAGTGAGATTTTGTTTAGGCACAGTACCAAACTTTTTCACTAAATGACAACCAGACTCCATTACTGCCCATATAAGGGCGCCTCCATTTCCATATGTGTTTTGAGTGATATGAACCATTATTTCCACAATTTTCATACAATTTATGAAGTAGACATCCTATTCAGAAGTAATATGAGAAGTTTGGCAGATTTTGATATGAATTCAACCTCTAAGAAACACAAAAAGAACAAGTATGTGCGTTATAGCTTGCTGCCACATCACAAATGGTGAATCTATAATTATTTTCTTTATATTTAAAAAAATTTCAGACCTTTTTTTCTAAAATAATTGAATAGATGCTATCTTTTGAACTCTTGGCATGAAAACAAACTGAGGTTTCTACCCTTCTTTCATGATTTTTCATGTTCATCACTATTTAAAAATAAAGGTCTAAACACACCTTAGGAGTATGAAAATATTCTTGTTGCAAATTGATGAATTATGGCTCCTCTGTAATTCATTTTAAAAATCAATCAACAAATATAGAAACTATAGATTGTAAGCTTTCAAATGATATATAGTTTGTCAAGATTAGTTTAGGTTTAGTATAGGATATTACAGTTTTAAAAATGTAATGGATTTGGGCCCACCGGTGGGCCGGTGACAAATAAATGCAGCCTTGGTGAGCAAAAGACACTTTTTAAAAACTTTTCTTTTCTTTTTTTTTACTTACAAAACCCAATTTTTTTTAAAACGATAGTGTACGCGGCATTCTTAAACCATCAGAGCTGCAGTCTAGCAGTTAGTGCATGTGCTTATGAGGGTGACACTGGTTCATATCTGGCTTGTGACACTGTCAAACCCTGTTGCCAACAGGTCACCCTATCATTTCCTGTATTTCTTTCACTAAAACAGCACACGATTATGATGTACGACACTCAATCATGTTGCCAGATTTTTCAGATTGCTTTCTAAACACTTTCAAAGTACTCTGAAAAAGTTGTAAAGTTAGCAACTATGAAATGCGTTTCACTGACATGTTGAAATACAGATGCTCAGAACGCTCAAAATAGACAGAAATCATAAATTATTTCAAATGCATCACATATATTAGTTTTTCCAAAACAGTGTTACAGCACCTCTGTCAGTTTTTCTTCTTTTCCTCTGCATTTCCATCTCCGGCTCTGTCTGTTGTCCTCCCTCAGTCCAGTAGGTCCACTTCAGGCGCGTGTGATTAATGACCGGCTCCCCGGGGCTGCCTCCTGGTGCAGTCATCTCTGATTCTCCTTTACGAACAACCGATGAACTGACTGGGTTCTTCTTTGCAGACACATCTGCTAAATGGTACACACAAGCATTTTTTGCCTATGGCCTTGTCCACACTAATATGTTTTCGTTTGAAAACGCATCTTTTTCTCTCCGCTTTGGCCTTCCGTCCACACCGAGATGGCGTTTTTATTAATGAAAATTAAGCTTTTTGAAAACACTCTCCTAAGTGGATAAATTTGAAAACGCCATTTGCACGTTGTAGTGTGGACTATCAAAACGGAGGGATTTAAAAACGATGACGTAAGTTTAGTTGTGATGCATATTGTACCAATAGATATTCATGTTTATACCGGTTTTGTGCCTGTTATGTGCTATTCAATTTTACACTGTTGCTAAAATATATTACTTTGCACACTCTTCATATCACAGTCCTGCAAAGATGACAGAAAATTTACTCACATTTGCTGTCCTGCGGCAATACATGAGAGCTGTTGGGTTTTAGACCAAACATATGGTGACTGAGTGCCGCATCAGTGAGTGGTTAGATATGTTGCTTAATAAAATCATCATGTCAGAAGAATTGCGCGATAACTTTTTTTTTCGTCTGTATTATATCAGTGAGCTTTTGTGAGGTTTTACGCATGAATTTAGCGTATTCATGCATTTTTCAAAAGTTTTCATCCACACCGAAACGTTGGAAAACGCTATTGTGGACGGAGAGCGTTTTCAAATGTATCTGGATTGAATGTAGACGTAGTCTGTAAAACACTGTAAATTTGAAAAACTCAAAGCATAGATGAACAGCTGCCAAAAAAGACATTGCATTTACAATTATATAATAATCAGTTTCTTATCAAAGCAACTTGCCGGAGAGTGCATATACAGTGTGAACTGTAATTACCAGAGCAGGCAGATAAGGGCATGTTGTAGAAGTGGAAGGACGAGCTGGAGGTAGATGGCTGGGGGTCCTCATGCTCAGACTGAGGTAGAGGCTTCACAATAACAGGCTCTACTGGTGCTGGTTCACTCTCGGTTTCTGTAAGATCAGAATCTTCTTCTATCCCAGCATCTGTAACTTACAGAAATAGTTCACTCAAAAAAGAAAAATTCTGTCAAAAATTGCATGGAGATGAAATTGGGATCAGTGATTCATCTGTGCATATTCTTCCAAAGGAATAAAAAAAAAAAGGTTATGTAAGATCTCTCTAATCTTCAAAATGTAGTGAAGGCAAGCTCATACTACACAACTCTCTTCCTATGAAACAACTGTCCTTTTCTGCTGACAGGCTATAGCAAACCAAACATCTGTATAACAAACAGGAACATCTGAAAGAAATGTTATCAATATCGGTTTACCTTCAACGTCCTGTGAGGCACCTTCATACGGCCAGATGGTTTGATACATGTAAGCAATGTCTGCAAAACAGAAAATAGATGAGCGATGAGGCTAATCTGGGTCATATTTTTGGAAGCAACTGTTACTACCAAAACAGAAAATGATTAACAAATGTAAAAAAAAAAAAAAAAAAAAAAAATTTAAATACTTTGTTCTGGCTCATTCTTCCTGTAAACAAAGTAAATGACATCACTATTTTGCAGTAAGTGCGTCTGTTTCTTCACCACTTTGGACATGTTGATCACCGTCCCATTGGTGCTGAAACAAACAAACAGACCATTATCAAGCAGAAAGTTAACAAATTATGGGTCCTTTTGAATGCATAGAGTGCTATTCAGAGGCTTAACGATGTAGGCAAATAGCCTTTTTGTGAATTTTGTTTTTAGGGACTATGGACAAAGAGAAGGAAACAAAGTTATGGGGAAACATCACAAGCTGGATTCAAACTTAGTCTACATGCCTGAGCAACATGTCCAAGCATGTGCATTAAACCGCAAGGCCACATTTCTGATAACCACACTGTCTTCTGATGTACTTGGAACATATTAGATTAGTGTCTTCAAAGATGACAAATTACCCATCTATGAACCTGATGATAGCCTCTGATCCACCTAAATATTGACTATTTCTTTTAAGATAATGAGTAGCGACAGAATAAAGTGCCGAGTTAAATTATTGTTAAAAATGGCTAAACTGTACAAAAAAAAAAGGTTAACAAAATGAGGAAGGGGTCCTTGCAGTTCCCAATACGTTGACTAAGCATTGTGTAAAACTCACAGCATAAAGACTGTCTAGCATACTCACTCACTTAATTAGCTGGATGGAAATGTACAGCAGCGGAGAGCTAGCATACGTTTAAATACATTAGACATACCGTTTCTACAGACGCAGATCAACTAGTGAATCTCCATCCACTGACTATTAACCAAATTACAATTAATTATTCACCAAAGCAATGATTAAATGTCATGAGGGAATTGGATATATATTTGCCGCAGGGCCAAGCATGTCGTTAATTGAATTCACTTACTAATGTAATTAGAAGTCACAGTATAATTTGCCAAAACTTAATAGAACTAAAAGGAATTAATGCCAACTGCAACTACTGATGTTTTTTATTCAATGGGCATTAGACTCTAACATTAGCATTATACACTAGTCTTCAAAAATAATATCAGTTCTGTAAATGTACACAACACTTCTTCCTCTTTCTTGCTGTAATCAATGTATTGACATCACCCTTTATTCAAAATATTATGAAACAGATTTTGAAAGCATAATGCATGATTGTTCTTGGAGTCAACAGTTTTATTTGTGATAACGCCATGAAACAAGGCAAACTGTGCGGACAAAATGTTTGAAAAAATATTTTCTTTTTTACCAAACAATTTGTCAAATAAATAAGTTTATTATTTTGTTTTTTCCCTCACATTTAAAATATTTTAAATATATAAAATATTTTTCTCATATTTTGATGGTTTAATCGAACTTGAAGGGTCACTACTGTCTATATATATATATATATGATATTGCCATAAAATTATTCAACAATCCATGTCCATCGACTATATGTCTTACCTCATGTCCTCCAGCCACACCATTCCTGAGTTCTGATCTTTAGTGATTTTGCAATGATTCCCTGAGACCAGTTTATTTGCCGGAAATGAGAGGTCACAATCTATGAACAAAATATGTCAGTGAGGTTATGATATAGAGACAAGTCAACAATAAATCAAAATGGAATACATTCTCTTTGGTCATTATAAAGCTTTTACAAAAAGATCTGTTCCACTTAGAAATGTTCCCCTGACCCAAATGCCAGCCTAAGCCTTTGCATAAATCTGCAAAAATGCAAGCTTTAGCTCTAACAGTATGTAAAAATTACAAAAAATATATTTTGCATGAAGAAAAGAAAGCTTACAATTAGGACCATTAATAATATTTGCATTGTGAAATTTCCTCACAAATTTAATGCAATCACTACTGTAATGCAAATAAACAAACAAATCACAATTACTAAATAATAATAACATTTTTTCACATTACAGTAGTGCATGTTACTATCGAAACCAAGTTCATGGGATCATGATAAATACATAGCCTACTTTTCAATGCAAGTTGCTATGTCTACAAGGGTACATAACGGTGAAAACTCACCTTACGATTTTATCCTACTTTGAATCTGAAATATGTGACATTACTAAAGTAAAATGGGTGGCAAAAACATTTTCATGTCGACTTTAATAAAGCACGTTCCTCTTTTCTCTCCCTGACCTTGCCCATTACTTTTCTCTCACAGACACATTAGGCATGCAAGTCTTAAATGAAGTAAAGTGTGGTGGCATGATGTGATGTAAGGTTAAAAATTAGACTATTATAGTAATGAAGCGTATCAGTTCTGCTAATAACCAGTGCAGCACACAGAACCAAACAGACACATGGATTGATATTAATTAAAGCGGGAAAACAGACAGTCTTCAAACCCAGACAGACACAGACAGAGTCAAAGGGATACAACCTTTCCCTGCACACCAGCACAACACAAAAAAACTACTTAATATTCCAAGAGCATGTCTTCAATAGACGCCTTTGTCATTATTGGGGTGGGGGTTCGTTTGCTGAACTAAAGAGAGTATTGTTAAAGGCAAGGGCTCACTGAATACATGCAGACACTGCTTCAGACTGATTATCTTGAGAGAAAAAAAGTAACAACTAATAAAAGTTAATAAGTAAAACTTGAAGTCATAGGAGAGTCTATGAAGACGTTTCGTGAAAAAGCAAATAACGGAGAAGCCTTTTTAAACTGAAATAATTATTTCACAAGTTAAGACTGAGCATTGAGCAATTATTAGTGATGATGTTTAGCTCACCTTTTTTTCTCCCCACAGTGCATTCTCCATTTATGAGTAATAACTCTGAACCCGGAGATCCGTCAACTTTAACCAGTTTCCCCCAGGCCTGACCGCTGCCCTGATGCGTCATCTTCTCCTCTTCCTTATTTTACCTGCCAGACAGCAGATCTCGTCACCTACAGACGCATAAGGCAAAGTATAAAAACACAAATACGTCATAAAGGCAAATAAATGCAAAGGCATTCAACCACAATGCTGATTATATTATGAAAAAATAGAGTTGAAAAAACTAGTGTGAAAGAGAAAGACTATAACAGCATGCTTAGTCAAATAAACTGCACAGGAAGAGACCAGGGAGTGTTGGGTTGCAACACAAGATGAGTTGTAACCATCAGTTTAACCAATTAGAAATAAGCTACAGGGGTGGATCACTATCATGTTGTAGAAGTTATACTCTGTGTAAAACAATCAGCATCTGAACCAGCAGATTTTTCTTCATGTTTAAAAGCTTTACTTATATCACAACTGACCAAAAGCATTGTTAGCCAACTATGAACGCAAGCTCTGATGAATTGTGTTGGTAATGACAGAACTTGAGATCATTTTGAGATCATACTTGGCTTCGGGAAACCATTACCACCAATGGTCTTTATGATCAACTCAGCTCACAATGCTTTTGGGAGATGCAGCCCTGATGAGAAGGATTGTAACATGACTTTACAGTGTACTTCTACTTTCTATGTTATGCATTATACATTTGTTTCCAAATTTATTTTGAATGAAAATGTTTAAAAGTAAATTAGGATGGGGTTTTAAATTTGATTAGCCTTTACAATAATGTAAAACCATGTTGTCTGTTAGTGTTACAGTAGGCCTACTCGTAGTAAAGCAGGGTGTAACAAGACTGTAACGTTAGGCTACTTGATATTAATTTGATAAAGTTTAGGTAAGTTATGTATTTCTAAACTACTTTAATTTGAAGCAGTTAGATACGCAAATATTACACGAAAGTTTTACGAAGTTAAAGACGCTTTTAAACAAAATAAGTTGCACACTCTCTGACCTCACCTAACGTTACTAGATTAACCTAAGTCAGTGTGCTAACCAGCTAACTGAAGCTTCCAACGAGTTCGTTGTAAAGCGAAAGCCTAGTAACTAGTAAACTAAATGATACGACCTGAATATGTAAAATCATTCATTTCTTTAAGTGACAGATTTCAAGTCGAGTTTTGTTTTGTTTTGAAAAGCTAAACAACAACGTGAAACGGCGCAATGTTTACCCGAAAGGGCTGCTAACAACTCAGAGTCGCTAGCCCACAATCACATCTGAAACTGTTTAAATTAGCGGAATTAAAATTTAAACTCAACCTGTAATGTTTTCAATGTACTAACCTAACCAGCGTCCGAGAGTATCCGAAGCATTAGCGCATGTTGATTTGAATCCTCTGAGTGCTTTCGTTTTTATTTTGTGGAGCACTTCCTGCCCAGCAGTGGCATTTTCATGCATCAGCTGATAGAGAGAGAGAGAGAGAGAGAGAGAGAGAGAGAGAGAGAGAGAGAGAGAGAGAGAGAGAGAGAGAGAGAGAGAGAGAGAGAGAGAGAGAGAGAGAGAGAGAGAGAGAGAGAGAGAGAGAGAGACGGGGGGGGGGGGGCTATGGGAATGAAGCTGGCAGGGGGTCACTATGCTTCTGTCTGGCCCATGTGAAAGCCCTGAACAAAAACCTGTCTGGAATGATGTCTAGACAAGAGACTGATACACATTTTAGAGCTAGAGATGGAGATATGGACTGCTGTGAATGGATGAATTTGTGCATTTTCATTTAATAATGATTTAGAATGAAACATTTAGTCAAGTTTTTTTTTTAACAACTAACTATCCATTGTATTTAAAAGCAGATTTACAAAAGATATAGCTTGATGCCTGTGTGCATTAGCCTACTGTCATATTAATTGTGAGATTTTTTTTTATTCTATTGATAACAATAAGCCTGTAAAATGTCCACCTATATCAACTTAAAAACGTTAAGTGCCCCTATTATGCTAATTAAAAGATTCCTAATTTTGTGTTGGAGTCTCATACAACAGGTTTATATGTATCAAAGGTGAATTTTTTTTATTTCATTTTCTCATAATATACATGATTGCACATCACCACGAAAGAAACTCGTTCGAAGAGCCTACTCTGCTCTGATTGGCCAGACAGCCCGGTCTGTTGTGATTGGTCTACAAACCAAACTTACAAACGAAACTTCCATTACCACGACTGAACTTTACCTCAAGAAGCTTCTTAAAGGGATAGTTCACCCAAAAATGAAAATTAGCCCATGAATTACTCACCCTGAAGCCATCCTAGGTGTATGACATTCTTCTTTCAGACGAATACAATCGGAGTTATAGAAAAAAATGTCCTGGCTCTCCAAGCCTTATAATAGGAGTCGATGGATAATTTTTTTGGAAGTCCATCAAACCATCCGTGATAAAAAGTGTTCGAAACGGCTCTTGGGGGGGGGGGGGGGGGGCTGTTGTATCTGCTATCGCTGTGGTAAATGTAAATTTAAAGGAACCGTATGTAAGATTGTGGCCAAAACTGGTACTGCAATCACTCTTTCAAATTACTGTAGAGCGGTGTATCCCCTCCCTCTCCCCCTGACTCGAGGTTGCCAGATAGGCTGCAGGATCCAGCAGGATTCTTCTCCGTTTTCAGCCGTCTCCATCTTTCAAAAGGCATCTCCTATACAAATCCTTGTTTTATTTCGGACTTTGTCACGAAGTATTTCGGAATCATGACGAGGTTTTTTTGGATTCGTAACGTTAGACATTTTTTTATCCGACACGTTTGTAGCTGCAGCTGTGGTAACTACAGCAGAGCTGGCAACCCGGATGCCGCAACACTACTGACTTCGTGATTGGTAGATAGGTGGAGGGTGGCGCATCTGACCAAAACACAACATGACAACAACAACATCAGTTGAGGGCTGCAACTGCACTTTTTAAATGACAATATCCTGGCCGGACTACTGTTGTCAGTGATATAAGTAATTGAAATGAACATGATTTCTTAATGTCTAGTGACATATCAGGGCCATTTTATAGAGCCCGTTCTCATCCCAAGGCGTAATATACTGACTCTTTTGCCAAAGCGTCTATATCCAACGCACATGGCACCCTTTAGCGTCATATGAGACGCAGATATATGGCGCCTCCTAGTGGTCTAACCCTAACACTACCCCAGACCTAAACCTACCCAAAACCGAAGCGTGTTATATTGACGCTAAAGGGTGCCATATGCGTTGGATATAGACGCTTTGGCAAAAGAGTCAAAATATTACGCTTTGGGATGAGAATGCGTTGGATTAATTGAAATACATTTCTTACGGTTCCTTCACTGACTAGGCTATACTCATCCTTTGGAGGCGTTTACAAAGAGAATTTGTTTTTGCAGAGCAGAAAACAGCATCTTTTCTACATTTTTGTTTGAGGGAGGGTCAAAGTAGACGTTGTTTGCGGCCAGCCGATGAAGACCATAGGCGGGCATTATGCAAGTGTGTTCCAGCGTTACGTATGCAGGTCACGGAAGTGAGACTGGAATTCCTGACGACTCGCTTAGTTCAGAGTCGATTCTTTCTTTTGGGACACAATAACTTTATTTATCGTGCACTTTTGACTTTTGACTTTACAACTTTGCTTATCATTTACATTTATATTACACACTGCATGAAAGGTAATATTAAAAAAAATCATAACAGGGCCACTTTATAATAATAAAGATAACATTTACCAAAGTGTACATTACTGTCATGTTAATTGTGATAATTTTGTATTCTATTGATAAGCCACAGCCAGATAAGTCATTTCAATCTGCTGCTCTCTGTAAATGACTGTAAAGTATGCATTGTTTCAGATTAGCAAAGTAAGATCAAAAACAGATGAATTACTGTACTAACATGCATTCTGGGACCAGTTGCATAGAGCCAACCAGCAGTTAGATCAGAGGTTATCAGTCTTATCCAATTTAAACAAGAACGATCAACCTTTTTTATGTAACTGACTTTAAAAAGTTAGGACCTTAGAAAAAAATTATTTGATTACTAACTTGACTAACCCTAACACTATAGTATTAGCAGTTTATGCAATAATTATCACTGTTCACTTGTCCTGATGAGTGGCCTCAACCTTTCAATGAAGCCTTTACATTACTTAGTTCTCTGTATGATAATACAAAACAGAAACAAAAAAATCTGCGTATTGTGTTGTGGAAAAACTATATATAGGCCTATATTTTATGGAAATTTGGATGGGTCTTTGGAAATATATCTATGGGGCTATAAAAAAAGAGGAGTTGAGGATAGTTTTATTTGATAGCATCAGAAAACCCACCTTGAATTAAACCACTGCCACAACTAACACAAACCAGGCAGGTGATAAACACTGATCTAGAACCCAAAGTAGAGTGTATAGACTCTCTCATCTACAGATGATGTTAAAAATGACTAAATAAATCCTGCTATGACCTGTTGTATGAAGTGTATTTATGTAATGATATAAATTATGTTCAGATGAGTGAAGTGTGGGTACAACACTAACAAATGTATTCAGATCTCCTCACAGACAGGGTCATAACAAGGATGTGGAATGTGGGGGATACATTAAGGACGGGGTCTTTGAGTGAGTGAGTGAGTGAGTGAGTGAGTGAGTGAGTGAGTGAGTGAGTGTGAGAGAGAGAGAGAGAGAGGAGAGAGAGAGAGGAGAGAGAGAGAGAGAGAGATGAGAGAGAGAGAGAGAGAGAGAGAGAGAGAGAGAAGAGAGAGAGAGAGAGAGAGAGAGAGAGAGAGAAACTGTCACAGTGTGCAGGGGGCAAGACTTGTGGTCATTTGCTTTGGCAGTAGTCCTTTGACCAGCTTTCACTTAGCTTTTCATAGCCTCTCTTAGATTGAATAGAGTGTCTCAGAGGGCTCTAAAGGTGTCTGAACAGTCTGCCTCTGATAAGCGCCCCGGCACTTTTATGTCAGAGCCTGTCTGTTCACATCCAGTCCGTGCCAACTCATAGAGCCCTGCAGTTTATTACACTGTCGGGATGGGGGACTTTAACCTGACAGGTTCACTTAACCTGAAGCAGAGCACAGCTCTATCGATTTAAATAGACAAATTGTTTATTAATAGTTATTGTTAATATATTGACTGACTATGGTTTTGCTTGCTTTATTCTTTCTTATATGCACATTCATTATAATTGTTGTGATTTCGTGGACAGATAATATAATTAGCCAACACATTTCATACAGTGACACCAATGTCCTTCATACTTACCTATTTTATCAGCTTATCGCTTATCTTCGTCTAAACTATTTTCTTTAATTATCATGCATGTATGCAAGCATTTTTTGAAATCAACTATGAAATAATTTGAACTAAATAGAATATCTTTACTTTTAAAAATGCATTTGGGAATTGACAGGACTGGTTAAATGAAGTGGTGGTAAACATTGTCAGTTACAGAATATACTCCCTTGAAACACTTTTAACTCTCTAGGTTCATTTGTGGATATAAATTCATGACAGGAGTTTTTGCTGAAGATGATGAATATTTCTATCACAGTGTCATTTACACCAGGGAGCCAAGGTGGTCCGTGGAAAAGTCTAGAGAAAACTGGGGAAAAAAAGTAAAATAATATTATATAATAATAAAGTTAATAAAAAATATATAAAAATAAATGTGATTAAAATAAAATATTAAACTATTAAATAGACAGAAAATACATAAAAGATTTTGATTAATATAAATAAATAAAAATGTGATTAAAAATAATTTAATTAATTAATTAAACGGTACATTTCTATAGAGAGTCAAAAAAATATCATACTTTGATTGAAAGATTGGGACAAGGCAAAGCAATCAATTCTCTCTCTCTCTCTCTCTCTCTCTCTCTCTCTCTCTCTCTCTCTCTCTCTCTCTCTCTCTCTCTCTCTCACACACACACACACAACATTTTAAACTAAGTAGCAAAATATAAAAATATATATATCATGGCTTCGTAAAAAAATGAACACAGTTCATATTAACATGTTCATATATAAAAATGTAGGCCTATATATATAAAATATTTTTATATATAAAAATCATTCTCTGGGACTCAAACGCATCGAAACTAAAGAAACATTTTATCTTGTACATTCATAATCGCAACACTTGGCTGTAGCTGTAGTTCTACAAGCATTCCAGCAGGGGTAGCTGTTGGTCTATGACAATTATTATAGCATCGCACGATTGCTGCAGGGTACAGCTCATGAACATTTTCTATACATTTATGCACAATTACATATTTTTTTTCCAGTAATTTTTAACAATAAAACATTCAATGTCATTTGTCAAGAAACTGATTACCACATTATTCATAAACCCACGCGTTCACACTATTAAACATGATTTGTATTCGCTGATAGTCTACGTGAGAAGGATGCAGCCAAGAGGCACAAATGTCAGGTCAAAATTACATTTTCTCATGTTTGTTGTATATGGCTATTTTGCAGA